ATAGCAGGTTTTCATTTTAGTCATATAAAGGCTTAATTTTGTTTAAAAAACAACAACAACAACAAAATAGTGGAGCCAGTATACTTCGGTACATGCCTCTAATCCTAGCACTTGGGCATCAGAGGCAGCTGGAGCTCTGTGAGTTCCAGGCCAGTCAGAGGTACATAGTGAGCTCCTGTCTCAAATAAATAAATAAATAAATAAATAAATAAATAAAATAAAAAGTTCAAGACCAGCTTGATATATACAGAAAATTCAAAATTCTAAGCTAAGTAGGGTTGTGTGATGCAACTGTCCCAAAAAACAAACAATAAGACTGGAGAGATGGCCCAGCAGTTATGGTTAAAAAAGTGCTTACTGCTTGATTTTCCAGAGGACCTGAGGTAGGTTCCCAGCAGCTATATCAGGTGGCTCACAACTTCTGTAACTCCAGCTCTATGGGGATCAGACACCTCCAAGCTCGATAGGTAGGTGCACAAGCACTAGAGTGTTTGCATGAGAGCAAGTGTATACACACACACACACACACACACTGAATCTAAAAATCAAGCAACAGAAGTATATCTGGAGATGTAGCTGAGTGGTAAAGCACTCACTGCCAACATCAACTAAACAAAAAAGTGCATTTATGTTTTAAAGTGGGACTACTTGAGGAAAATGCTACAGTTATTAAACCAGGGTACGTGAAGGAAGGGGACAGCTCCTTGTCCATCCCATGACTACCCTGGAGTAGGGGAGCAGGGCCTCTGTAGAAACAGACCCATGGTGTTAGGTGGAGCTCATGTCTTAGGTGGGGTCTCACAGCAGCCTGTCTATCTGCAGGCTTCTGTCTCCCTTTAAAACGGGGGGGGGGGGACAGCAGTTGCCTGGCACTTGTCCTATTTTCCACAACTTGTGCCTTTGTAGTAATTAATTAATCCTTGCAGCTGGGGACTGGCCTTTACCTGAGGTTCAGCTTCCGGTTCTAAGGACTCTCTCAGGAAGATGGAGCCACATGGGCCCAGAAAAACCCTGCTTTCCTTTTCAAACCCCAGCTGTAGGTATTTCTCCCTTTGTTCTCCTCACTTGTCACAAAGTGAAAATACAGTCGTCCCCACTTCTTCCTTTTTCAGGTTTGGAGTCCCACTATGTAACACTGGCTGTCCTGTAACTCACTGTTCAGACCAGGGCTGGGATTACAAGCCTATAGAACACCCAAAAGTTACATCATGGCTCCCAGCCGTTGTTCTGGGACAATCTTTGGAGGTGGTCTAGGAGCCCTGCCCTGAGGGAGGGCCAAGAACAGAGCTGAGAGGAATATAAAATCCATGCATGTTTTCACTAGCCTTTAAGTGAAACTTGATGTGCCCTTCAATTAGGAATAGGTGCAGCATCCTGTAGATCTCCCAGCCTATGTCACAACGGAAATCACAGGGATTTTCATCTACTTCAGCTAGAGGTGTGGCAGGCAGGTCATATTTCTGATATTAGTCCTGCCTCTAGATCCTGCAAGTTAAGAAGAATCATGGGGCTGGGCCATAGTGGTGCATGCCTTCATTCCCAGCACTCAGGAGGCAGGCAAATCTCTGTGAGTTGGAGGTCAGCCTGGTCTACAAAGTGAGTTCTAGGACAGCCTCAGCTATTGGACAGAAAACCCCTGTCTCGAAAAACAAACAAAAAAAAACTAAACAAAAAAAGAAGAATCATGGGTATTTGCATATGGTTTTACAAATATTTTTCTGACATTTACATTTTAGTGGTTTGTTGTAAGGCATTGATTTATAAAATATGGGTCTGTAGGATACACCTCTAATCTCAGCTTTTGAGAGGAAGATGCAAGAGGATTGAGTTCAGCTAATAGCTCTATTTTTAAAATAATTTATTTTTACTTGCAAGTATATCTGTGTGAAGGTGTCAGATCTTGGAGTCACAGACAGTTGTTAGCTGCCATCTGGGTGCTGGGAATTGAACCTGGGTACTCTAAAAGATCAGTTAGTGTGTTCTTAATCACTGGGCCATCTCTCCAGCCTCGATAGTTCAATTGTTAAGAGGAAAAAGGTTTGATTCCCAACAACCACAGGGAATTAGTCTCCATCTTTTGGCCTCTGAGAGCACTGCACACATTGAATACATACATTCATGCAAGCAAAACACTCAGATACATTAAAACATTTTTTAAAAGAGAGTTTTAAGAGCAGGGTCGTCCTTTGCTCCAGAGGCAGCTCAAGGCCAGTCTGGGTTACATGAGACCCTACACACAGGCACATGCACGCGCGCGCGCGCGTGCGCGCACACACACACACACACACACACAATCGCCCAAGAATAAGTAAAAGAGCATCTTTGGCGCACACCTTAAATCCCAGCACTCAGGAGGCATAGGTAGGTAGATCTCTTGAGTTCGTGGCCAGTCTGATCTACAAAGCAAGTTCCAGGACAGCCAGGGACACATAGAGAAAGCTTGCTGTGAAAAAACAAACAAACAAAAAAGAATAAGTAAAAGATTTTTAAATGATGACATATGCCCATAATCCCAATACCTGGGAGGTTGAGGCAAGAGGATTACTTCAGGTTGGACTGTGTAGTGAGTACCAGGCCACCTGGCCTATAGAGTAAAGGTTATTTCTATAAAAAAAAAAAAAAAAAAAATCGAACCAAACAAAGAAATACAAACATGAATGCTTTGATGTTGCTCTGGCCACTGCCCTGCCAGAACCTGTCCACCTTGTCTAGAGCTGAAGAGACAAGGTCCATGGAGCTTGGCAAGTTTATAATGAGGGAAGATAATCATTCCTGGAAGAGCAGAGGGCCTCCTAGGGAAAGTGAGTTTAACTGTAAGTCTGGGGGTGGGGGTGTGTCAGAGTAATTGTCCTCAGCAGATACATAAACCTTAATGGGACAGTGCTCCCTCCCTACCAGTGCAGATAGGGAGTCCAGTGAGATCCTGGCCCCCGGCTTACAGGGAAAGGATCTTTATGTATCACCTTGTCAGGAATTTATTTAGTTTAGTTAGTTTTTTTTTTCTTCCTTATCTCTTTTTGATCCAATAAAGCCAAGGCTAGTCCTCAACTTCTGATCCTCCAGTCTCCACTTTCCAAGTGCTGTGAGTACAGTACACATTGGTTTATTTAAGGTTTTGTCCTGAGATGGAAAAGCAGGAAGAGGGACTGGGCAGTGGTGGCACACACCTCTAATCCCAGCACTCATAGGAAGTAGAGGCAGGAGGATCTCTGTGGGTTCGAGGCCAATCTAGTCTACAAAGCCAAATTCCAGGACAGCCAAGGCTATACAAAGAAACCCTGTCTCAAAAAAAAACAAAAAAACAAAAAAACAAACAAACAACACCAACAAAAAGCAGGAAGAACAGGACCTACAGTTTAAATTTAATTCTCAAGATGAGCCTTTCTTTGGGCAACAACAGGAATGAGAGGAAGCCAAGAGACTAGCTACCAAAGACAGGCTGCTGTAGGTAAAAGTCCAGAATGCAGCATTAAACCGGAACTGTAGAGAAATTATTCTGAGCCGACAGCATTTGAGAACAGGCTTTTATTTGTTTGTTTATTTTTAAAATAGGGTCTCTGTATGTAGTCCTGGCTATCCTGGAACTTGGTATGCAGACCAGGCTGGGCTTGCATTCACAGAGATCTGCCCACTTATGGCTCTCCAAGTGCTGGAATGGGCTTTCACTTAAGCTCCTTCACAACAGACTCCCAGAGTGCTTTCTGCTGGAATTAACCAGAAAATGAGTCAATCTCCAGAGACACCCAGGCACACCTAAATGAGAACTCTTTTTTTTTTTTAAGATTTTATTTATTTATTGTGTATACAACATTCTGCTTCCATGTACACCAGAAGAAGGCACCAGATCTCATAACGGATGATTGTAAGCCACCATGTGGTTGCTGGGAACTGAACTCAGAACCTCTGGAAGAGCAGTCGGTGCTCTTAACCTCTGAGCCATCTCTTCAGCCCCCTAAATGAGCATTCTTACAGAAGAACTGAGAAGTCATGTTATCTTCCTAAAACTCCTTTGTTTGTCTATAATACTCCTCCCCCCCCAATTAAGTGATATACAAAGGTGAGATGTCACAGGGCATGAAGGCATTTAGTGCCAAGCCCAGTGACCAGAGTTCCATCCCAAAGACACACATGGTGCAAGGAGAGAATGGATTTCCACACGTTGTCCTCTGAGACCTCCACATGTACACAGACACAGACACACACACACACACACACACACACACACACACACACACACACACACTGTATGTATGTATGTATGTATGTATGTATGTATGTATGTATGTGTAATTAAAACAAAAAATATTAAGTTGATATTTGGGCTGAGTCTCTGCATTCAGGAGGTAGAGGCAGGCAGATTTCTCTGAGTCCCAGGCCAGCTTTTATACATAAAAGCAGTTCCAAGATTCTAAATTCCTAGTATAATAAGTAGATTAAAAAAAAAATTTGCTCTTTCCTTTATGCCGCTGCCATGCCGTCCAGACTGAGAAAGACCCGGAAACTCCGGGGCCACATGAGCCATGGCCATGGTCGCATTGGTAAACACCACAAGCATCCAGGAGGCCTTGGGAATGCTGGAGGCATGCATCACCACAGGATCAACTTCGACAAATACCATCCAGGGTACTTTGGGAAAGGTGGTATGAGGCATTACCACTTAAAGAGGAACCAGAGTTTCTGCCTGACTGTCAACCTGGATAAGCTGTGGACACTGGTCAGTGAGCAGACACGGGTCAATGCTGCCAAGAACAAGACTGGAGCTGTTCCCATCATTGATGTGCGATCGGGCTACTACAAAATTCCAGGGAAGGGAAAGCTCCCTAAGCAACCTGTCATCGTGAAAGCCAAATTTTTCAGCAGAAGAGCTGAAGAGAAGATAAAGGGTGTTGGAGGTGCCTGAGTCCTGGTGGCTTGAACCACCCAGGAAGGTTAATTAAATGCTAACAGTTTTGAGGCAGAGTCAGGCGGGTCTGTGAGTTTGAGACCAGTCTGGTCTACAAGAGCTAGTTCCAGGAAAGCCTCCAAAGCCACAGAGAAACCCTGTCTCAAAAACAAAACAAAACAAAACAAAACAAAACAAAACAAATTTCTTTTCTCTCAGGAGGCAGGAAGATCTCTGTGAGTTCCCAGGCACCCAGGGAAAAGATGGTCTGGAGTGGGTGGGGTGTTTTAATGCAAACATACTTACTGAGGCTTGGAGTCCATGAAGGACTCTGACAGCTCTGCTCATTTTAGCTCCTGCCCAGGCTTCAGGGATAGCTACTGGAACATTGCTCCCTGGCAGAGGAAAGAGAGCTCTAGAAACTTTGGCATTAGCAAATAAAGAAAACACTTGCCTTGTCATTGGTCTGTGGCTTTTACTGTCTCAGACCCTTGGCCCGAACTAATCACATGGTCTCACATTAAGGGAGCGGGTTGATTTTATAGACATATAAATCTCAGAACGTTTCCTGGCATAAAAGATACATGAGCCGGGCATTGGTGGTGCACGCCTTTAGTCCCAGCACTCGGGAGGCAGAGGCAGGCGGATCACTGTGAATTCGAGACCAGCCTGGTCTACAAGAGCTAGTTCCAGGACAGCCTCCAAAGCCACAGGGAAACCCTGTCTGGAAATCCCCCCCCTAAAAAAAAGATACATGAAATTATTACTGTTGCCATTAGGAATTAGAATCAGGAACTCCGGGGTAGACACAGGCCTGGTAAGTACTCTTGGCTACAACATATCCGAGAAGCAAACCGCAAACCCGAGTCAGTGAAGGCTTCCCACATCTGTAACCCCAGCATTCAGGAAACAGAAGCAGGAGCATTATTGAAAGTTTGAGGCCTGTCTGCCCTAAATTGTAATTACAGACTAGTCAGGGCTGCACAGCAAGATCCCATCTTTCTCCCCCCCCCCTGTATTTTTCCAATTTTAGTATATGTGCAGCCTAAGTGAGCACAAAGTTATTTTGTTACTTTGGGTTTGTTTGCTTTGTTTCATTTCCTAAATTTTTTTCAGTGGCTATTTTATGTGTATTGATGTTTTGCCTACATATATGTCAATACCTTGGAACTGGAGTTACAGACAGTTGTGAGCTGCCATGTGGGTGCGGGGAATTAAACCTGGGTCCTCTGAAGAGCAGCCAGTGCTCTTAACCACTAAACCGTCACTCCAGCCCAAGATCTCCTCCTTTTTTTTTTTTTTTTAAAGCTGTTGAGATGCTCAGTGTGTAAAGACACTTGCCATCAAGCCTGATGACCTGAGTTGTAACCCCAGAGACCCACATGGCAAAAGAAGAGAACTCCCCAAAGTTGTCTCCTGACCTCTACAAGGTACTGATTCCATTTTGATTTTTAGTCTTGTCTATTGAGTCTGATGGAAGAGTCTAGTCTAAAACAGTGGCCACAATACCTTCTATAATTTCACTGGTGTGTGTGTGTGTGTGTGTGTGTGTGTGTGTGTGTGTGTGTGTGTGTGTTTTACTGGGGACTGGATCCAGAGCCTCCTGCATGCTAGGCAAGTGCTACACCATTGAGTTAGATCTCCAGACTTTTGTTTACTTACTTTTTAATTTTGAGAAAGGAGCTCAGGAAGGCCTTGCAATTGTGATCCTCCTGCCACAGCCTCATGAATGGCTGGGACTACAACATCATGAGACCTAACTGCCATTTGTATATTTTTATTTAATTTGACTAACATTTGCTGACCCAAGCACCTCACAAATGCTGGTCAAGGTCCCCCTATGTGCCTGGGAACATTAGCCAAGCAAAGAGGTGTCCACAAAGAGAGAAAGAGAGGGAGAGGGAAAGGGAGAAGGAGAGAGAGAGAGAGAGAGAGAGAGACAGAGAGAGAGAGAGTATGGAGGAGGGGCATGGGAGGATGGGAGAGGGAGGAACTGGGATTAATATGTAAAATAAGATTGTTTCTAATTTAAATTTCAAAAAACTAAAAGAAAAAAAAAGAGAGAGAGAGAGTATGGAGGAGTTAAGTATCCCTGGAGGCCAAATCGGAAGAAGGGAGCTGGTCTGGGAAGAGTCAGGTGAGAGTCAACCTGGTTGCCAGAGCTCTGGAGTGCAGATGGTCCACAAAATGCTGGAACAGCACACGTAGCTGTCTGACAGTCCTTAGAGGACAGTGCTACCCAGGCTTTGGGCATCCTGTCACTGCTCCTGGCATTGAAACTCCCTAGATAGGGAGACAATGACTGCTCTCCCATCCCTTAACTGCCCAGCTCCTATCTCTCCTTGAATGCCTAGGCCCTTTGAGTAACCTAAGATGGGTTTCTGATCCCCTCATAGTCCCTCCATCCCAAGATCTGCGATTATCTTTCCAGAATCTTCCACAGCATGTAGCCTAGCTTTGGGAGCCTCAACTACCCCACAGGGTAAGTCTCAGGTTAAGGGGTAACGGAGGAAGGAAAAGACCTGGAGAGGGGATGAGGCCATCAGATTCCCATTCCTACAGTTTTCTGGGCCTCAGACCCAGGACCTAAGGGTGTGGCACCCAGTAGAGAGCTGGGCACAGGTTTCACTTCAGTATCGGAGAAGAGGCAGAATGGTGGCAGTCTTAGTTAGGGTGTCTGTTGCTGTGAAGAGACACTATGACCACAGCAACCTTTATTTTTGTTTGTTTGTTTTTTTGTTTTTGTTTTTTGAGACAGGGTTTCTCTGTGGCTTTGTAGGCTGTCCTGGAACTAGCTCTTGTAGACCAGGCTGGTCTCGAACTCACAGAGATCTGCCTGCCTCTGCCTCCCCAGTGCTGGGACTAAAGGCGTGCGCCACCAATGCCCGGCCACAGCAACCTTTATGTTATGTTAAATATTAATGACCAATTAACATTTAATTGGGGCTGGTTTACAGTTTCAGAGATTCGGTCCATTATCATCATGGTGAGAAGCATGGTGGCATGCAGGCAGACATGGTGCTGGAGAAGAAGCTGGGAGTTATACATCAAGATCAACAGGCAAGCCGGGCGCTGGTGGCGCACACCTTTAATCCCAGCACTCAAGAGGCAGAGGCAGGTGGATCTCTGTGAGTTCAAGGCCAGCCTGGTCTTCAAAGAGAGTTCCAGGACAGCCTCCAAACCTTCAGAGAAACCCTGTCTTGAACCCCCCCCCAAACAAAACAAAACAAAACAAAAAATCCACAGGCAGCAGGAGATTGTGTGCCACACTGGGGGTAGCTCGAACATACATGAGACCTTAAAGCCCACCCTCACAGTGACGCACTTCCTCCAACAAGGCCATCCCTCCTAATAGTGCCACTCCCTATGGGCCAAGTAAAAGGTTCAGGCAGATACCTAGGTAGCTTAAAGGTCCCTGTGTTGCGTGGCCACGTCATGGCTATGTCACTCATTACAGGGCTACATAGGGGCTGTGCATGCGAGAGCTCCCCTTATAAACCCGAAGCATTATTCCCTCTCTTTCTGGCGATCTACCACGGCGGTTGGCCATTAACTGTCTCTCTCTCTCTCTCTCTCTCTCTCTCTCTCTCTCTCTCTCTCTTCTTCTCTTACTCTCTGCCCTGCTCTGTTTTTCCATTTCTCTGTCTCCCCCTCTCACTCTTCCAACCTAAAATAAACTGGTTAATGTGCTCTATAGTTCGAGTCTCATCTCTCTCATATTTCTAATTTAAGCAGACATCTAACAGTTTGGCCATTTCTCTCTCAAATTTCTAATTTAAGCAAAAGAATAACACCAAGCATTCAGACACATGAATCTGTGGGGGCCACACCTATTCAAACCACCACAATGGCCTTGTTTGGAATAAACAGACGAAAACCAGCTTGGCCAAGTGAAGAGTCAGCTGGTGTTCTCAGTCAGAAACAAGTCCTCCCCAGGCTATGGACCCAAGCCCACACACTTGGGGACAGGTCAAGAACAGCCATTTCTAGGTAGACTGCTGCCCTTCTCCCAGAGTTCTTCCTCTGCCCTTTCAGAGTTGGTTCCTAAGACTGGCAAGTTCTCTTGCATCTTTGTGCCCCAGGGAGTTTGATGCCAACCTGGGGTACCCCCCACTGCACCTGTGTATTCATCTTGGGACTTGTTCTGCCTCCCTTTTGCCCTCTCCATCACCCCTGTATATTTTCCTCAGAGCCCAGCTACACCCACCCCCAACCTCACGTGGATTCATTCTAGTGTCAAACCCCAGCCCTGTGGCCCTCTTTCATCCCATGTGGGTGGTCCAACTCCAGAGGGACTGGAGGCTTCCCAGCCTCTACTGCCCCAACAACTTGGTATTACATAACTCCTCCATTGTTTTTTTGTTTTCTTTTTTTTTTGAATAATCCTAACTGTCTTTGGGATATGTCCCCCTTCTTGTCACACAGCCAGAAACATCACACTTATGCTTCTGTAAAAAGGAACTAAAAGAGAGGCTGGGATGCAGAGTGCTTTCCTATTGTGCAGGAAGGGAGGCCTTGGGTTTTATTCCTGACACTACCAAAAATGCAGGGCCTAAAAGCTGAACAGCACCCATCTGGACTCTTGACTTCACATCCCAAAAGATAGCAACCAAACTTGGGAAAAGCATTGTGAAGTCATGGAGGATCCTGAGGAGATGCTGACAACATGTCAAACAGCAATAAGCAAAATGATATCCAGTACTTGGAGATGTTTTCCAGGGGATGGTCCGGGAAGGCACAACTAAGGACATCCCATTTAGGGTAGGAAACTGCCATTCAAAGAAGGGGAGGAAAGGGCTCTGGACAGGGGTAAGCACCTTGAAAAACGTACCAGGTGACATGAGTGTGGCATATCTGGGAACTCAGGGAGCATTACTCCAGTGTGAGTGGGAGAGTGGCTGGCTGCCTGAGACAGGCCCCCAGCCATATACCAGCATTCTCACGGAGAAATGCATCTCATTGGACCCATGGTGGAGAGGGGATTTAGAGGGGCAGCGTCCCTGTGACCCCCAGTCTCTTTCCTCAGTGGCCTTGGCCCCAGCTGAACAGCATTCATCTGTACTCCTCAT